TATATATATATATATATATATATATATATAAATATATAAATATATATATATATGTCTATCACTCTTTTATCACTGCTCATTCTACAATCTATGAACGTATTACGCGCCCTTTCCCCCTCCCAAAACTGAAGTAATAAAGAACAAACTAAAATGTATCTATCGTATAGATTCTATGCATAAAAATATCTATAGATATATTAAAATATTATAAAATTAGCAATGTTAGAAGAACTTGTTTTTTTTTTTTATATTCAAAGAAGAAATTCTATGAGAAAAGAAAAAAAAAAACAAAACAAAAAAATCTATAAATATATATATATACAAAAATATTTTATAATAAATTGTAAAAGAAATTTAATTGATAGTTTTATATAATATGCAATACATTTCTAGTTCTAAGATGTTTTTTAGTTTATAATTCGCTAACAATAATTTAGTTTAATTTTCATGTCTAAGCAAAGGTACAGAAAAAGAAATCATTTTTTGTTTGTTGTGTAAAGCGATTCGTTGGCAAACGCGATTAGTTCACAATTTCAATTTGTTGGCCCAAACACTTGTTTTTTATGAATGAAAAAAAAAATTTTAAAGAAAAAAAAAACCTCAAATGGTAATCCTATTTGATAATGAAAACACTGCGCGTGCCTTGGTCAATTCATTTACAATAACAAATTAATAAATGGAAAACAAAATATGTAAAAAAAAAATTAAATACTTATTTGGCGTTTTTCTTATAGGTATGACTGGGGCAAGGGCTGAAAATAAATTTTCTAAGGTGTGAAGAATACTTGAGTCTATGCATTGTAGTCTATAGAATTCCTCAAGCAAAATTTTATCAAAGTGTATTCTATTATGGTATGGTAGATAGTTCTAGTCACTTTAATTGTGGTCTACCTAATTAGAAGAGTCGTCTACAAGCTACGCATAACTCATCATATTCTCGATCTAAACTATCACTTTATCAAATTAAAGAAAAATGTATATTAGGAGTCAACAATTTATGCCGGACACTTGGACCTTTTTAGATCTTTAGACATGCTTAAAAATATTTGAGGATCTGTTTCAGCTTTAACTCGTTCATACTTATTTCAAGAGAAAAGCATATAAAAAAAGTTTTTAGATCCCTCGAATCTCATATATATTCTAGGAATCTCCGGATGTAAATCTATAGTATCATTAAATATCGGTTTCACATATTTTCTCGTCCATATACTTCAAGGAAAAGACATATCCCAGAAAGGTCACCATTATAATAAATTCTCCAATGCAAGATAAAGATGTGCAATCTCTTCTCAATATCGTATTGTTCATACTCTTGAATCTTTTTCATGGCTGAAATCTAAATAAATTCGAAATAAAATGCAAATTATTTAAATTTTAATAATTTGTTTTGTTGTTTTTATTTTTCACATTGTAAATTTAATAATTATAATAATTTTGTAAATGTATCAAGACAAAAATGTTTTATCCGTTGGCTTATTTTGATTAAAATACATTTATGCATTATGTATATATATATATGTGTATATATATATATTTGAAATATAAGTTATTTAAATTGTTGTTTACCTCGTTTGTGTATTTGTGTGTATAGCATTTCTTTTTTTTTTTTTTTTTTTTTTTTTCTTTTTTTTTTTTTTTTAACTTTTGATCCCCGCATAACTAAAACATTGATGTTTTCTCACTTTCTTCAGTTTAAATTAAAATATAAAACAAATAATACAAGCACATACTTTGTACGAAACCTACGCTGTATGCGATCCTAACTATTCTGATCTCATATCTTCTCACGCTTATTTACATGAAAATCTCTGGCGAACAACTTTAACAGAGGAGACGAACAAAATGTTATTCGGGGATGTAAACTTAACTTAAAATGTAAATATAACTAACAAGAGTTTATAGTGTATGTACGTGTGTGTAAGTGTGTGTGTGTGTGTGTATCTCATATAAGGCCCTAGATTGCAAATATTATCGCCGACATGCATCCATCACAATGAAAAATATTTGCGCTTAAATATAATTAATTCGTTTCATTTGTTGTAAGTTAACATTTATGTACGGTTTTTCTTTTCCTTTTTTAACTAATCTAATTTATTATATATTTATAATTTATGCTAAACGAGTGCTTAATTTTGTTCATAGTTGAAACATTCATTTTTGTTATTTTGTGTATTTGGATTCTCTAGCTTTGTTTCTTGCGAAATAATTTACAAAGTTACATATATATCTTTAAATATATATGTATATATTATTTTTGTTTGTTTGTTTAAAAAATACAAATATAAAAATTAATTAAGTAATAAATGCATATTTTTGTGTTCGTTTGTTTGTTGATTTTTTTTTTTTGTTTTTGGAAAAGCAAAAGAAAAGAAAATTTCAACTGCTAAGGATTAGAGATGAGAGAAAGTTTTGGGGTTTACATAGTTAACTTGGGGATTGTTTAGACATAGCACAATAAATGTTAATAAATAAATGTTCGTTGTTCTGGAAACCTTTTTCGCTATCATGAATTTAAATCTGTTTTTAATTAATTAATTAATTATATATTGTATTTTATTGTTTTTGTTTTGGTTAAATTATTTGAATTGAATTTATTTAGAGCGAAAAGTTGAAAGCATTCTAAGATATTTAGAAAATTTATTGTCCTTGTAAACATTGTTAATAGTTAATGTTAATAGTATTTTTTTTTTGTTTTGTATTTGGTTTTGGCTTTAGGAGAAAGATTTTCTTTACATCAATACGCACATTGAAATTTGCTAATAATTTTCATTAGAGACTTTTCCAAAAGTTTTTGTTTTTCTTTTCAGTTTTGTTATTTACTAAATTTAAATATTTTCGTTTCTTATAAACGTTTTAGCTTAGAAATAGTTTTTTCTTTAGTTTTTGTAAGTAATTTAATGTTAAATAATGTTTAATAAGGCCAAATTAAGTTTTTCTTTTGCGCTTTAGCATTCTTTTTATATTTATGTATATATTAAATATTAATTTTAAATTGTATTTTGTGCTCTAACTCGCATAGCACTTGGATAAGCATATGACATTTACAAAACATGAAGTATTCTTATTTCATTTTATGTTTTCATTTATTTATTTTGTAATATTTTTGCTCAAGTAGCCGAAGGTTCTTAAATGCATGTGGGGCGGTTCCTTCTTATCGCGCAACTCTAGCTAAATGGAATGATCGTATAGGTGTTTCGTTTCGACATATATTCTGCTTCACTTCTTCGATTATTATGTAGCATTACAGTATTATTATTTATAACTTTCGTACAAAATAAACACGAGAAATAAAAAGAAATTAGAAAAGGTTTTCTGAAATTTTATAAAATTTCCTTTCTTTTTTAAGTAAGATATTTGAAACGCGCAGCAAGCGGTGGGTTTTCACATTAACATAAGTTACATTTGTGTGTGTGTGTGTGTGTGTGTGTGTAGGTGGCGTTATTGATTAAGTTTTGTATTTTTAACTCTGGTTTTAATACAGTTGGCTGATGTTTTAATACTTTTGCGAAAGAGCATCTAGCTCGGCGTTATTTTGATTTTTATTTTTTGTTAGTTTAATTTGTTTAAATATTGTCAAGTTAACGTTTGCTGTTGTTGTTGTTGTTGTTGGGCTGTTTGGTCCAAAATTTAGACGGTTCGACTACAAATTTAAAGCTAAAAACATTAAACCGAATACGTTTTACATTTATTCCGTTAGTAAAGCATAAAAACTATATATCATAAATGAAAATAATAATAGATAAGTGGATATATATCGGGGTGCTGGCCCTGATTTCATTCTGAAATAAGCTTTGAGTATTTCGCAGCACTTGGTACTGGTTTTTCGCTCTTAAGCTTAAAACGTAAACGTAAACGTAAATAATTCGAATGTATAAAAATATATATTTATGTATATCGATAGATATATTTAGATATAAATATACTCATTCATAATTGAAACAAAAACAGTTTTCAACTTAAGTGTAACTCGTTTAAAAAATACTTTTTAAAAACAATATGCAAAATCAAATTAAAAATAATAAATTCGCTCAAACGAAAGGTTTTTAGCTCTTCTTCTTCATCATCGATCCTTTTTGGGAGTTTCTTTCCGAACTTATTTTGTGGCAACCAAAATGACACGAACAAAATATATTATATAAATTAGCGATATATACATGTGTATATAGTCTATAATGTAGAATATATAAAAAATAATTCATCAAAGCTCTGCCGAGTTGGCTGCCAGTTGCTAATGGGGGCTATAACCGATAGAACCGCTATAGCCGATATTATAATTAATATTATTTTAATTCTTTGTTTTGTTTTGTTTTGTTTCGCTTTGAGTTTTTGTGTGTCTTGAGTGTGTTTTGTGTTCCTGCACAATTTGAGATTTCTGCGTCTGTTTTAAGTACAGCATTTAAGTGCACTGTTAGTTCACTGTTAGACTTATGTTAAATGGCTGTTACTGCCGCTCAGTTGAGCAGCATCTTGGCATTGAAGAAATTGAAGGCATGCCCGCCGTGGGACGGTGCGCTCGTTGGCGGCGTTGGTGGTGCCGCGAAGCGCTCATTGGACAGCGGGTGTGGTGGTGCCATCAACGCTGCGTGGTGCAGTGGACTGGCAAAGAAACTGGGCGGCTGCGCCGGTGGTGCTTGGCCGTACGCAGCCGCTCCAGATCCAGACAATAGCGGCGGCGGCGGCGGCGGTGGTGGCGCTGGTGGAGTTGACAGCGGCGGCCCTGTGCCCCGCTGCTGCATACTACTGCTGCTGGACAGCGGTGGCAACATGATGCCAGCGCCAGGCACGGACGGTGGCCAGGCAAGCGGCTGACAGGGCAGACGCTGCTGCTGCTGCAACCGCTGGTGGTGATGGTGCTGCTGCTGTTGCTGCTGGTGGTGCTGTTGGAAAGCTGCCATGGCAGCCAGCTGATGGGGATAATTGCTGCTGTGGTGGAGGTGCTGCTGTTGCTGCTGCTGCTGCTGCTGCTGATGGTGGTGGTGGCTACTGTTACTGTTCAGCCTGGCCGAGTGAGCGGCGGGACCGCGACGCTGCGGCCTGCCGGCGGCTGCTACGCAGGTGGGCGGCACTGAGGTGTCGCTTACCTATTCCCTGTAGGGCTTGCAGTAGGAGTAACGGTGGTTCATGTGCTGGCTATAGCTGCCCGAGTGGGAGAAGCGCTTCAGGCACTTGGAGCACTGAAATGGCTTCTCGCCGGAATGCAGACGCTTGTGCTCCGTCAAATGATGCTTGTGCTTGAAGGCCTTGGGGCAGTCCATGCACTGGTAGGGTCGTTGACCTGCAAATGAAATACAGATTAGCTGCGATCGTTTACACCCACGAACCAATAAGATTAGGCTATGCAATAGCAGTCTGTTAAGTTAACAGTGTGACGCCACTGCGTCAGGTGAAGCAACTTTGACACTGTTATCTATTTTAAGGCCAATAAATCGCACAGTGCGACCAATTGAAAGCAATATACATATAAAGCTATATATAGATTCTCAAATCGGATATTATAGGGAATTAACTAATATTTTTTCTATCCTTTGTATATATAGGATTGTAAGCTTCTGCCGAGATTTCTATTTTTCACGTTCTGCCTATTAATCGATCATTCTGGTATATGGGAATGGAATTTCCTATCAGAGATTTCACTTTGAGAGCTTTGGAGCATTTGCAGGATCTCTGCTTACCTGCCTGCTGCTAGATTTCAGATCGCATAACAGAGCACAAACTGTAAATGGGATGCCGCAACATAGCTCTGTTAATTAACAGAATGCTCATGGCATTACATAGCGTAGCTTTTAACAGTGGCTTACACCACATCTCCAAGTTCTAACAGAGCACAAACTGTAACTGTGATGCCGCAACATAGCTCTGTTAGTTAACAGAATGCTCTTTGCATTACATAGCGTAGCTTTTAACAGTGGCTTGCACCACATCTTCTCCAAGTTCTCACTCACCGGAATGCTCGTACTTGTGGCGCGCCAGGGAGCTCTGCTTGGCGAACGCCTTGTCGCACTGGTCGCAGACGAAGGGCAGGTCCGGATCACCCGCATGCCCGTGCGTCTCGGCCTTGGCCCGCTTGGGCTTGGGCGGCAGCAGGCCGCCATACTCATCGTCGTGCGAGATGCGCGAGTCGTCGTCGCGCCACGAACGCTTCTCGGAGCCGCCGGGGCTGAGGCTGGTGCCGCGGTAGTCGGGCAGCTTAATACTGTTCATGAGCGGATTGGGCGCATAGTCGCCGCCAGGGCGCATCTGGAAGAGCGCCTCCATAGGCAGGCGTGGCAGCATGTAGGGCGGCAGGCCGGCGAAGGCCTGGCCACGCGGTGCTGCGCTGGGCGCCAATTCGTGGGCGTGGCTGGGCGGCGAGGGAGGCGCGAAGTAGAGCGCCGCAGCGGCAGCAGCAGCTGCTGCCGACTGCTGCAGCGAAGAGGCGCCCGAGCAGGGCGACAGCGACGACGGCGACATGGACGCCGAGCCGGAGAGCTTGCGGCTCAGATTGATGGCCATCGTCTCCTGGAAGTCGGCGGGCGCGGGCAGCACAGCTGCCTGCTGGGACGACGCCAAGCCGTACAACGGCGAAGCGTCCCGCTTGACGGACAAGTCCAGCGGCTGATCCTCGCCAGCGCGTGCCTGCGCTTGTGGCTGTGGAGCGACAGCTGCGGCCTCGCCATTGTTCGCATAGCTCTGCAGCTTGCGTTCGCGCGAGCGATTGTTCTGGAACCAGACCTGGACGACGCGCGCGTCCAGCTGCAGGCGGGCGGCTATCAGGCGGAACTCGTCCCGGCTGGGACGCGCATTGTGGGCATAGTGTTGCTTCAGCTGCTGCTGCTGCTCCTCGTTGATGGCGGTGCGCACGCGCACCTTACGCTCGCCGCTGTCGCTGCTGCCGGCATGGTAATCCTGGCGGGGCTCTTCCTCGTCCTCCTCATCCTCGTCCGCATCACTAGCGGAGGGAAGCAGCGCAAAGCTCGACTGTTGTTGCTGCTGCTGCTGTTGTTGTTGCTGTTGTTGCTGTTGTTGTTGCTGCTGCTGCTGCTGTTGTTGTTGTTGTTGCTGTTGATGCTGCTGTTGTTGTTGATACTGCTGCTCCAGCTCCTCCTTGATCAGACCGCACAGCACCTTCTCGTGCTGCACCAGCTCTGTGGGGTGATTGAATTGCTTCGCACAGCGACTGCAGCGCAGATCCTGAGGTGTCTGTGCCCGCGACTGCTCCACGGCCACTGCCTCCAGCTCCTCCTCATGCTCCACCTTGATTGACTTGGGCGTGTCCGGAGGTGTCGGCTCGCGACTGGGCTCCTGCTTGACGACACCAACGTCGACTGCTGCGGGTTCGGCGACGGCTACTTCAGGGCTGGCCGATGGCTTCGGCTCCGCTTCCTCCAGATCCATAACCAGCTTGGGCTCATCCGGCGTCTCATCATCATCCTTTCTGGTCTCATACAGCTTCTGCTCCTCTCTGTGCTCCTGCTCCAGCTGCTGTTCCAGTTGCTCCTCCCGCTGCTGTTGCTGCTGCCCGGCAGCAGTCAGTTGCAGCAGTCGCTGGATGCTATAGGGATGCATGCGGGGATCCAGCGCGGCAGCCATGATGGCATTCGGAAAGGCCAGCAGCGCCGCATTCATATAGTTGGGATAGAAGGGCCCAGGAGCATTGACAGCTGTGGGTGGGCTCTGCACTTCGCCGGCAAAGTAATTCATGGGATTTGGCAGCACCTGCTCTGGTGTTAGCTTCCGTTTGCCCGCCAGCTGCTGCTGCTGCTGTTGCTGATCCGTGGGCGAGCGTCGAGCGTTTGAGTTCTTATCGAGAGTTTTGAGCATCTGGCGATTGTTGTTGAGCTTGAGCCCCAGGCTAATGCACTTCTTGGAGGTCATGTGAGAGGAGAAGCTGCCCGAGTGCGAGAAGCGTTTGCCGCAGTTGTCGCAGCCGAAAGGCTTCTCGCCGGAATGGATGCGCACATGCTCCTTCAGGTGGTGCTTGAACTTGAAGGCCTTGTCGCACTGGTTGCACTTGAATTTACGCAGCAGCGCGGATTCATCGTGGCTGATCATATGACGCTGCAGGCGGTACACGTTCGCGAAGGCCTTGTGGCATATTTTGCAGGTCTGCAATGAGTAGAGCGAGTAAAGTATATTAAATATACATATTCATAAAATACAAAATATATATTCATTATAGATACTAATACAAATCAAATATTTTATTTCCATTTCAAATAAGACACTAATGCAACCGTATACAATGCAGCTTTTGTCCGTCTAGCGGCTTGCATTCTATCGCTTACTCTTTGGTGAAGGTGTTCCCCTATTATTACACTGAGTGTGCATGTTGACATTGTTGTTGTTGCTGCTTTGCTCGTTATTGCTGCGCCTGCTTTTTATTCTCAGACTTGGCACACACACACATGTATGCAGAGCGAACGTACACACAGGTAATAAAAGTTGTTTAAAACAACAAAACGCGCGTATTTATTTGTTTTGCTGTGCTATTTGAAATTTAACGGGATTTCGTTTGTCTCAAGGCCCGCAAAGCAAAACCAAAAACCACAACGCAAAAAACAAAACAAAATTGAAACAAGAAATTGTGACTTTTTTGTGGCGCTGTTGCGTTTGGCAAGCAGATTAAAAGAGTTTAGCTGATTAAACGAACTAAACGCAAAATTGACAACAACAAAATAATAAGAACGAAACTTAATTAAAAACCAAACAATATGCGGGCTATGTAAATGACGAAATTATAACGACAACCGACAAAAGCAGACTGAAGAAAAGTAGCAAAGGATTGCGGCAAGCGAGGTGACGTAGCAGTCAGCTTGCAACTGTCACAGTCATAGAGACGCGTACGCATGTGTGCATAGATTATGAAAGCGTAGGCAAAGCAAAGAAGATAAGCAAAAAAGCAATACAAAAAAGAGTAGCCGATCGTGTGCGTGTGGCGCGGGTGCGGAGTGCATGACACGTTTGGTATGATGAACAGTAATTGAAAATAATAAAATAAAACTTCAATGGAAGATATTGCGACAAAGCGCCAATAAGGAATGGAAACATAAACAACAACAAACGCTGGCAAGTGAAGAAATAAACAAAAAGGCGAACGGAAAAATAGAATTAAGGCCCTAGACAAATCAAATCAAATGAAATCACATCGTATCGTAACGTATCGTATCAGCAGCTGATGCTAATCAAACCCGTATGCGTTTGTTTGTCTTTGATTTGTTTGGCAACAAATTGAACGCATCAAATGCAACTTTGTTGCTTCTGCCGCCGTTGTTCAAGGTGCACAATGAAATGAAAGCACAAGCCGCCTGACTGACAGGCGGCTCGGCTCCACTTAGCCAGCGCGCTGAAAGATTTGCGGCACTTTCACTCGGCCAACATATGGCAACACGTGTTGCACCGTACCATCGCCCCACCTCTGTCTGAATGGCAACGGTTGTTTACGTGCAGCCGTTGAACTTTGCTGCTGCTGCCGCTTCAGTGCAGCTCACCTCAGCTATTTGTTGCTCTTTATAAATAAATACATATGTACATATAGAAAATAACATGCCAGATTGTTGTTGTTGTAAAGTTCATGACATTGTCGTTGGTGCGGCTGCAGCACTTTTTTATCAGCCATCAATTCGGAATATGTCTGCTCAACACGCAATCAAATCTGTCTGCATACATACATATGTATGTAGTATGTACATACGTATGTACATGTAACGGTCACTGTAACTGTGACTTGCATGATGCGCGCTCTCGCTCTATCTTTGCAAATTAAGAGAACGCGTGTGCTGTGTGGTTCGGACTTTGATAGGTTACTCAGCAGCAGCTTTGCATGAATTTCAATTAACAGACCAATGTGCTCATGCTGTGTGATTGTGTATATGTATTTGTATGCATGTCTTTAGTGTGACCAGTTATTAGTCATAATTTCAACACAAAGCCAATTTATAAATGAGCTCTTGACATGAGATCACAATCCTATGGAGAGGGATACGGTAGCAGATCAGGGTCAG